TTTCAAATACTTTCGATTGAAGACTAACCAACCTTTTTGATTGTAGGCATTGTCATACATGGCGGAGCGTGTGGTTGGCACTGGTTCTTTTGGAGTTGTTTTCCAGGTACAATGGGATCTCATTACACGAAAACAAAGCTTTATCATTGCGAATGCAGTGTGTTGATTATTATTTCCTTTTTTGGGTTTAAATCCTAGGCAAAATGCCTTGAAACTGGCGAAGCTGTTGCGATAAAAAAGGTGCTCCAGGATAGAAGATACAAGAACAGGGAACTCCAGATCATACGCATGCTTGAACATCCCAATGTTGTTCCATTGAAGCATTGTTTTTATTCAACAACTGAGAATAACGATGTGTACCTTAACCTTGTCTTGGAGTATGTTCCTGAAACAGTTCATCGGGTGTCAAGACACTATAACCGAATGAATCAACCCATACCCGTCATATATGTGCAACTGTACACGTACCAGGTGATTTTTTTTACTAGGATTACACCTTTATTATTGTCTGAATTGTCTCATGTGCCCATTCTTTTTTAAAAACTTTTGGTCCTTCGAACTTTACCTGGTTTTCTTTCTTTATAGATTTGCCGAGCTTTGAATTACATTCACAATGTGATTGGAGTGTGTCACCGCGATATCAAACCACAAAATCTATTGGTTTGTGTTTTTCCCTCCCCATTTGGAATAACTCTCATGTTTTCACCATGTCATTTTTGAAATAAAATTGCATTTTTTTTGGAATCTGCAGGTTGATCCTCATACTCACCAGCTAAAGATTTGTGATTTTGGGAGTGCAAAGATGTTGGTAAGTGATAACTCCACTCGGCTGGATAGCTTTTAGTGTTTATGGGTTTGTAAATTTATCTTTTCTGTTTTAGGTGCCTGGTGAGCCAAATATATCATACATTTGTTCCCGCTACTATAGAGCCCCGGAACTGATCTTTGGAGCTACAGAATATACCACTGCAATAGACATGTGGTCTGTTGGCTGCGTAATGGCTGAACTACTTCTTGGAAATGTAAGTTTACGAATATTCATTCTTTCCTATGTCTCCCATTCTTGAAATGTGAGTTTACATTCTCACACTTTTTTTTTTGGAATTTTGGCTCATTTTGGGCTAATTATCCCAGATTTTAAGTTCGCTTTACATGGATCCCTCAATTTCTTAGGCGTATCTGGGATCAAAATTTTTTGGGAGTATTGACATGAAACTTTCCTAAAATAAATCATGTATATTCTCCAACATATACAGATGGTTTAAACTTCTTCTGACACATACTGGTTTATTTCGCGCAGCCTTTATTTCCCGGCGAAAGTGGAGTTGATCAACTAGTTGAAATCATCAAGGTATGTTGTCAAATTACTTGTCATGTCACGCGCTCATTTTATGCTGTCCACTTTGTGCTCAAGCTGATAAGTGTCTGAATGTGCACCAGATTCTCGGGACCCCAACCAGGGAGGAAATAAGGTGCATGAATCCAAACTACACAGAATTCAAGTTCCCTCAAATCAAAGCTCATCCTTGGCACAAGGTTCATTATCTAAAAAATCCTATTGTCAAATTTTAAGATAGAAGCCATGAAAACAACTCTGAAACATCCTCAAATGGCTTGATTACTGAAAAAAATCTAATTTTTTTTCAGGTTTTCCATAAAAGAATGCCACCCGAGGCAGTTGATCTGGTTTCAAGACTGCTGCAGTACTCGCCGTCTCTGCGCTGTACTGCTGTGAGTTGATCGATTTCTCTTCTTATTTTATTTACGACTTGTACATTTCGTTTGAGTATATTGTCTAAAATTTTGAGTTACTCCTATCACCAATTGGTTTTGGGATGGTATCTCATAGTTCTATATAATTCAACAGATTCCTTGTATTTGAACTAAATCTAAATTTCATGGAATCAACTAAAAATTGCACAATTTAGTTCTAAGAATAAGCTTAAATTAAAAAAAACAGGTCTTTTATGCAGTGTATTATAAAGAATCTAAAGGTCTTCTTTCTTCCCCTTTTTTCCCAGTTGGAAGCTTGCGCACATCCATTCTTTGATGCTCTAAAGGACCCAAACACGTGCTTGCCAAACGGGAGACCTCTGCCTCCATTGTACAACTTCACCCCCCAAGGTCCGCATTTCACTCTAATCTTCATATGGTTTTCTATACTACACATAGTGAGTGTTTCTTTGAGTTTAAAAGCTGATCAAAACTGCTTCTATGTTATTTTTAACTTATAAGTCACTTGATGACATGTTTATCTGTGCTTATAAGCTGACTTATAAGTTGCTTATAAGCCAATAAAAATAAGGTCTTGCTTATTTTTAAGCTAGTTTTTTCTTTTTTCTGTATTGACCAAATTATTTGCTAAACTATCCGTATGCATCTTTCTAATTGAGAGTCAATCATAATGCAGAGCTTGCTGGTGTGCCTGCTGAACTGCAAAACCGCCTTGTGCCCGAGCATATGAAGAAATGAAAGAACAATTTTTTTTTTTGAAGAGGTGCTCTCATTGTGATGTTACACTGCCCAAGCAGCAAATGGTCAGAGTCCTATCTGGGAATGACAATACTTCTGGAGAAGGCAACGGCGGATTGAGTTGATCCATCAAAGCAGCGGGCAAGACTCGGGCAGAGGGATCGGTCTCCGGGCAGCAACACGTTCTTGTATTTATTGTTGTTTCACTTTCCATGCAGTGTATATCATCATCAACATCATAACAAGAAGTGTTAGAAGTTCTTTAGTGGGCAATGAATGTATGGGTTTTGGTTTGTGAGTATTTGATTGCCATTGCCAATTTGCTTCTGGTTTTTTACTCATCTCACAGGCTAATGTGAAGTTTTTATTTAATTCATTTTTTGAATGAATTAATTCAATTTTTAGTTGTGGTGGATTTTTTTTTAAATGAATATCAGTATAACGAGTAAATATTAATTCAATTTAGTCATGACAAATTCATTTTTTCAATGAATTAATTCTATTGTAGGCATGTCAAAATATAACCTCATGACAAATCCATTTTTTCAATGAATGACAAATTCATTTTTTCAATGAATTAATTCATTGACATTTTTTATGTAGATAATTAGATATGGATGACATACAACGTCAACTTGCCGGTCTGATGAATGTTGCTATGCTCACCTTCCAAGATACTCATCGATCCAGTTTTGTTTGGACAGAATCAGACTTTGTAGACAAAAAAGTATCGGTATATCGAAATGATTCTCGTATTTTAGAAAAATTTAGAGATGATAACGTGGAGCAAATCTTAAGAAGCTCTGGGTTTTATGGGGCACACCGGGTGCACCCCATTAAAATAGACTATAGTTTGATTCCGGTCTCGTTGAAAGGTGGAGGCCCGAAGTGCATGCATTTCATTCCCGTTTGGTGGACTTGGTATTACTTTTATAGGATGTTGAATGTTTAATGAGTTTAAGAATGGGCGGGGACCTCTAGCTTTTGAAGAAATGGTTAATCCAAATACTTATGTTGAACTTTTTCGTGAAGTTAATAGATTTCAAATCATGGACCATCATATGATGGTCCATGACATGGTTAAATCCGACTTGTCCAATATGATGGTCCATGATCTAAAATCCAATAACTTCACGAAAAAGTTCCACATAGGTATTCAGATTAATCATTTCCTCAAAATTACAGGTTCCCTAACTATTCTTAAACTCATTAAACATTTAACATCTTGTAAAGTGATACCAAATCTACCAAGCGGGAAGTGAAATGCATGCACTTCGGGCCTCTACTTTTTAACGAAGACCGTAGCCAAACTATGGTCTATTTTAATGGGGTGCACCCGATGTACCCTATTAAACCCAAACTTTTTTAAATTTTACTCAATGCGGTCATCCCAATTTTTTTTAAAAACGCAACAATCGTTTCAACATACTAATACTTTTTTGTATGCAATTCATGGTTCTGCCCAAACACGTCTGGATCGATGATTGTAATCTAATTGGGAGAAAGATCAAAGTAGGACCAAAACATTGAAAATATATCAAAATAGGACTTCCATGTTTTTATTCCCGAAATAAGATTACATTACCAAACATGGTCATATACATTACCAAAAAAGTATAATAATTTGCACATGTACACTGCCACATTACCACAGTGCAAAGTCCTATTTCGAGAAAAAAACATGAAAGTCATATTTTGGTACTTTTCTCTATGTTTTAGTCCTATTTAGGATGATTTCTAAATCTTAATTCGAGAAGGGGAAATAGTTTTTTCTTTTTTAACGCCTAGTTTTCCGTTCAAACCAATTGGAAAAGAAAAATATCAATCCAAAAATCATTTGAAGTAAAATGCTCAAATTTTATTGAGTAAATTCCATAATTGATCCTTTATAACCGGGGGTTTCCATATTTAGTCCTCTATTATCAAATATTACCCCGTAGTCCTTTTTTTAAGGGTACCTTTCCATAAATGGTCCTTTTTTTATCTTCTGTCGTGTTGGTGTTAATTTAAAGGCTAAAAGTATAACTTGACGTCAACATTATGTCTAGTGAGTAGTGACGTGTTCTGATATTGGTTAAGCGGATAACATAAAAATAATGACTATGATTGTGGGCTAGGATTCTGATGAAAGATCACATTTGTAGACTACAGTTGTCGTAAAAAGCGACTGTTATTCACAAACGATGCAAACGGAACAGCCTTTGAAATTGTGTACGACAAAAAAGATATATTATCATTGTGAAATTACACTTTTAGCCCTCAAATTAACACTAACATGATAGAAGATCAAAAAAGGACTATTTGTGGAAAGCTACCCATAAAAGAAGGACCACTTGGGTAATATTTGATAATAGAGGACTAAATAGGGAAACCCCCTGTTATAAAGGACCAATTATAGAATTTACTCAATTTTATTCCACAAAAAATGAAACATTTAAAATTGAAATCACTCTAGTGGAAAGTCACCCAAACGGAATCTAAAATGATCCAAAAATTAATCATATCCAAAGTTAACCCGAACTGAATGATCCGATCCAATCCGATTGGTTCCAATCATTTAGTTCTGGGGGGTGCACTGACCGGAGGGTAATTCCGGCTCCGGCCATTTCGTAAACCCTTCGCAAATGGCCTCTCTGCTATCTTCTTCTTCATCTCTCCGGCACTTCCCTTCCAAACCACCACCAGCGCCACCGTGCTCAGCCGGCGCTCTATTTCTCAACCTGCCGCGGCAAAGCCGATCTCGTTTCAAATGTTCGGCCAGTCAGTCTGGGTTCTTCGGCAAACTCGGCAGGCTGATCAAAGAGAAGGCCAAGAGCGACGTCGAAAAACTGTTCTCCGGATTCACTAAAACCAGGAATAACATGGCCGTCATAGACGAACTTCTTCTCTACTGGAATCTCTCCGACACAGACCGCGTATTGGATGAACTGGAAGAGGTTCCAATTCGAATTTCGATCTGTTTTCTCTTTTTGCAGAATGGGAGATCCATCTGTTCTTGTTTTATTAAAGAAATTCATTGATGATGAATTCATTTCATTTGTTCTTACTTTGATATCTTGCTTAGTAAGAAAGGGTGTCTCACAATTCACAATATTTCACTCTCATCTGAACAAATTCATTCTAATCATACATTTTTCAATTTTCAATATTTTTTTTTTCAAATTGTTTAAAGCTCTTTGGGACAGAGGTAGGAAGTATATTTGGATATCTTTTTCTGTGCTAATGATGCAATATGAGACCTCAAAATACTAAAGTTTTGACAGAAAATTCAGAAATTTTTTTTGAGACATTTTCGCCATGGAATGCAACTTAGCTTCACGTAGCTAAGAAAAGAATGTGAGAAACATACATATACGGAAGGAACCTGCATGAAGTCCATTTAAGTGGAATTTCAATGACATGGAAGCGTTGGGAGTTGAAATTTTTAGGACATTGTGGATGCAGGCTTTGTTGGTGTCTGATTTTGGGCCAAAGGTTACAATAAACATCGTAGAAAGTTTGCGAGATGATATATATGCAGGCAAGCTAAAAACGGGAAGTGAGATTAAGGTAAGTGCCCCAGAGTTTTTTTTTTAAAAATTTATTTTTAATTGTTTGTTATAAATTTCTAACACATAAATCTAAATTATTGTGCTTCTAAACGAGAAAAGAAGAATTTACAGCAATTTGTAAATACATATGTCCATATCTATTTGACGCATCCATAGTGTTAAGTCTCTGCTTAGGTAATTGGGAGTAAATTACATGATGAATGCAATCTATGTGATGTTTAGGATGCTTTGAAGAAGGGTATCTTGGAGCTTTTAGCTAAGGCACCTAAAACAGAGCTCCAACTAGGCTTCAGGTCTACACTGAATCAAGATCTTTGCCCTTTTGGAGTTCATTGATTTTAGGATTAAAGCTTTATTATCACAGTTAAACAGGAAACCTGCCGTGATCATGATTGTGGGCGTCAATGGAGGTGGGAAGACAACGTCTCTTGGTAAGACAAAACTTTTGTGCTCACTGTAAATTTCTCAAGGGCCTAACTGTTTTCTTGGCAACATGATGCATAATTGTATGTGAAATTTGCACTAAATAGGACTAAAACATAATAACTTTCCTAATATAGGACTTAAACTTTTTTATTCCCTAAATAGGACATAATAATGACCTAGTGGAAGGAATAATGTCTAGTAATGATGGACATTTAGTTGAATAATGACTACTTGATAATGACCAAAAGTCCTACATTGGGAAATAAAAACATATGGTCCTATATTGGGAAAGTCATTATGTTTTTGTCCTATTTAGGTAAATTTCTCTAATTGTATTATACGAAAGGAAAGATGTCCAACTGTTATCCATGTGTGCTTTCTCATTTTAATATACTCATTCCATCCCACAAACAGAGTAATGTTTCACCAAGGTACCACATTTAAATTGTAGTAAGGTGCAATTATAAGAAATTATCAAATAGAACTGTATGCTTATATTTATTTGTTAATTTTACTAAATTTAACTTACTCAACTTGTTTGTGACACCTTTTTGTATACTCCCTCCATTTCCGAATCAACTTTACACTTTTCCTTTTTGGATGTCTAGAATTCAACTTTACACTTTAAAGCCTTCTTTTTTAGGAAGTAAATATGTACACAATTTTATTTTTCTCTTCGAAATGAATTTGAACCACAAAATTTTAACTTTTTGCAAAACACCATTCAGTTTTTAACAATTTCCTTAAATCCCGTGAAGTTGATTTGGAAATGAAATGAGTATATAAAACATTAACATGGTGAAAATTAGCTTTTTTTTGTTCAAGTATGACTATGTTTGGGACAAAATACTCCATACGCCCCAAAGTGATGTTTACACTTTCCTATTTTAGATGTCCCAAAATGAAGTTTACACTTCCCCACCTTTCCTTTTAGGAAATGAATATGTGCCACTTATCATTTCTCTCTTCTAAATAAAGTTTAACCATACACAAACATCTTTCATTTTTCCAACACTTTTCATAAACTCCATGAAGTCTAAGTGTACACTTCATTTTGGGATAGTGGGAGTAAGTTTCAAAACATGACTATTTTTTTAGAGGGAGAGAGTAGGACATAACAGAGTACCTTTTACAACAAACCCAGTGAAATCCCACAAATGTAGTTGATAGTACCTTTTAAATGGAAAAATAACTTCAGGCTTGCTTCTGTAGAAATAGAAAACATTCATTAGTCCTACAGTACATAATAAGCAGCATTAAGCACTCATGAAAGATGCATAAACATTGGATGACTTGCTTCAGCCTTTATCACAAAGTTTAAAGGTTTTCAACGTGGAGATGGATGTTGATTTAATATTTTTTTCTTTTGGATGCAGGAAAGCTGGCCAATAGATTGAAGAATGAAGGAGCAAAGGTCAGATGTGTCATTCTTTCCCTCTTCTTTCTTCTGCATAGGAAGCAATAGGTTCCTTTCAAGATCTAACTACGAGTTTTTCTTAGTTTTTGGAGTAAAAAAGCCACACACAGATTTTTTTTCTCACTTTTTTCCCTCTGAAATTATTGCCAGATATTATTGGCAGCTGGCGATACATTCAGAGCAGCTGCTAGCGATCAACTGGAGATTTGGGCCGAGAGGACTGGTTGTGATATTGTTTTTCCTGAATCAGAGAAAGCCAAAGCTTCATCAGGTTTGAATCTAATATACTCTTCTTTTCTTAGTGAATTTCTATAAAAAAGGTCTGGTAATAGCTCCTAACCCGTGATTTTAAAGTTGCTCCTGAGTAGTTCTTTCACAGGCTGTTAAAAGAGGGAAAGAAGAAGGTGTTGATGTTGTTTTATGTGACACGTCTGGACGTAAGTTCTGACACACACAATTATTTTGTGACTTAAACCTTCATTGAATATTCATCAATGCTTTAAGTGTTTGAGCAGGTTTGCACACTAACTATAACTTGATGGAAGAATTAGTTGCATGCAAGAAAACTATTAGCAAAATTGTTCCAGGTGCACCCAATGTAAGCTTTAAAAAAATTATGTACCTCCCTATAATGGAGTATGAATGTATTCAATTTTCTTATTTTATGATTAAATACTCCATCCATAAATTATCTTCCCTTCACTATACACAGGGTCTAACTTTATTCACTTTGTTTGCCTATTTTTGTTGCCTATTTGTAAAAAAATTATAGTCATGTGACCTCTACCTTTGTAGATCCTTTGATGTAGTTTTTTAATTTATAATCTTTATTTTTTAATTCCACACCAATTTTCACATAAAATGAATTAAAATTAACTTCAAGTCAAACATCGCGACGCACATCGGGAAGAAAATTTGTGGATGGAGGGAGTAAGTTTTAGTATGCATAGAATGCTTGAAAGTGTTGTAGTTTTTTTCACTTGCTCCTCTCATTGTTTGTTGGGGGGTTTCTCTGAAACATCCTATCTTGGGGTAGAGGTAAAGTCTGCATTCCTAGACCCCAACTCTTGAGCACTTGATCGGGATTTAATGGGGCTCTTTGGTTTGGTTGGTTATGCATACAATGCTCTAATTGGTTACTTGTCACTATTAGCAAAACAAGCCAATCTACTATGTGGGTAGAAGCAAGGTCTACATACATTTTGCCCCCATCCTTCTCTTGAGTAGGATATACAGATACTGGGTTGTTTGGTCTGGTTTTTTGTAACAAAAGGAAAATGAAGTTCAATGAGGCAATAGTTTTGTCCTCATTATGATTAATGTGAACTATTTCATGTGATTTTAGGAAATTTTGCTAGTGCTGGACGGAACAACAGGTTTAAATATGCTCTCACAAGCAAGGGAGTTCAATGAGGTAAGAATTCCGACCTCATTATGTTTTATGAGAAGGGTTTGCTTGTTTGATCTGTAATCAAGCTTCTATTTATGCTGCTTTGAACTTCCTATTATCTAACATAAATGAACTGCTGTCTTTAAAGATTGAAAGTATGATTTGCCTTCCAATGCTAGGTTGTCGGAGTGACCGGTTTAATATTGACAAAACTTGATGGTACTGCAAGAGGCGGTTGTGTGGTATATAGTCTCACAGCCCTCCACTGCTCATGCATTCAGCACTGTGATGCATAAGAAATTGAAGTGGCTCTTTGAAAAATAACAAAGAATTTTGGCTGATTTCTGGTTGCAGGTTAGCGTGGTTGATGAGATAGGCATTCCTGTAAAGTTTGTAGGTGTCGGCGAAGGATTAGGCGACCTCCAACCATTTGATGCCGAGACTTTTGTAAATTCGATTTTCTCTTGAGGCATTGGGTTATCAGTGAAACATACTTAAACAAGAAGAAAACCCCTTCGGTTGAGCACTTGGGCCTTTAGCCATAATGTTTGACCGTGTTTGTTATTACCGGTCACCAATTGTATGGGTAAGGTCTGCATACATACGTTCTCCTCAGACCCTACTATTGTAGGGTTTTGCCCGTTTGTTGGTGTACGCTTTGGGTAATCGTCATTGCACATCGCACAGGTTCAACATTGATCCATTCTCTTTCTCATCTGGATTAAAGGCATATACCCCCTGTGTTCCATCATATATGTACCATGATATGAACAATAGAGGACATGCTTGTTTGGATCCTCTAATTATTGTGTTTGGTTTTACCTCTTGTAACAACTAATTCTAGATTTAAATTTCCTTCTAAGTTGTGGTATAATGATGGCTTGTTTAAGTCTTTTATGTAAGAAGATTTTACTTGGTTCATTATTTAGGTACTCCAATAAAATATAGATCAACAATAATCATTGCTTTGCCAAAGCAACACATATTAACACGAAAAAAATTCCATAACTTATTTCTTATAACATGATATTTTCTATAAATGGTCATCAATTCTAGGAAATAACATTTGTAGTTTCAATAACTGAAAATTATTCCATAATCAGTCTTTTAACTCAAATACTTTTTTTAACGTATAGTCTTCAAAAGACTAATTGTGGAATAATTTTCAAATATTGTGGCAAAATGCTAGTGGAGGGGCTCTTATGGGGTAGGATGTGTGGGATGAGTTAAGGGTAGGACCTGGTCATGAATAATTTTCAAATATTGGGTCAAAAGACCTTTTGCTCATGCTTTGATTGAAAAAATTAAGAAAGAAATGCTGAAAATTTAGGACACTCCAATTCTTGAATATATAATGTTTTATATATTCAAACACGCTCCTTCACGCACGGGCAAAATGTCTTTTTGCTCCAGCCTTGCACGCGAACCATATTACTCCATCCGTCCCAAATTAAACTTCTTGCATTCACTGCCACAGAGTAGAAGAAAAAGTGAAATTCATGGTTGAAATTTATGCATATGAGAGAAATAATTAACGTTAACCACTCAATACTTGAAAACGAATGCGAAGGTGAGAAGTTTGTTTGGGGACAAATGGAGTATATTTTTTTAGCTGAAGTTTGTAACCACTCGGTCAACTTTGATATCATGTTTAAGGACCAAGTCAACCAAGAGCTCAAGCTCGTGGTTGTAAGTCCAAAAACCGATAGCAATAAAAATTACAAGGAATGCGTAGAGGACAACAAAAAAAAACTTACATAATAAGCCGCCAAGGCGTTGGAGGTTCACAGACTGGCAGCTGGTGAGTGATACAAAGTTGCACGAGAAAGGTAAGTCAGTTTATCAGAGTCCTTCAGTTTAAATTCCACAGCAACTACTGTCAAGTTTCTTCCACTCCTCACTACCGACCCGTGAATCCTAACTTCTGCCTGAAAACGCAATTCGAGCTTTCAGTTTGACTACGAGACTCACAATGTAAGTGTTTGCCATTGCAAAAAGTTTCATTTTTTTTAGCGTTCAGTGCAAAGAATCGACCCATCTGTTTACAAACCACAGAAGCCGAAAATTGTGCTGAAACGCAATGGCAAGCACCCCATATATATACCTATAATATATATATGGTGATAAAAAAGAGACTAACATTTAAAGGGGCAGAAGAGAGATAAGACATGCTTAACTCTCCAAGAAATAGTTCTTTCTCCTCTCCGACAACTGTTCTAGCACACGCAATCGCCACTCTCTCGGCTAGTGCACCAACCGCGCCCCCGTGCATCCCACCAAATGCATTCTGAAATGGCAACAAGTTAAGATCTTGAATTCGAAATAGAGAAAGATATGTGAAGCTTATCTTTCAATCAAATTGGGTAGATTTTGCCCGCTTGATCAACACATAACCAAGTGTAGGTGTTAAGTTACTCTTTCTATTGCTTATTGGTTTTAGAATGGAACATCAACTTGTAATATCACCTAAGAGTCTTAGTTTGCCAATCAATTTGCATAGTTTTTTTGCAATATTTAATATGCTCATAAATGTTAATGTAAAATACTGGAGTATTATTCTACTGTTAATAAAATTACCATGGAACAAAATTAGCATTGCAAAATTTTTGGTTTTAAATATTTGTACTATTCACATAGTTCACTCCGAATACTCGGTATGTTTTATGGTCATAGACGGTAAGGCTAGCTATGGATTGTTTTCTATTTTGAACACAAACTACTATATTTCATTACTTATACAAACAAAAGGACTATTAAACTCAGCCACTCAGGAGTTTACTTAACGAAAAAATCACTATACTAATTACAGACTTTAAGCTTATATTGAAACGGGGCAGTTCTGTTGTCATTAGACAATGGTGCCACTGGCTTTTTGGAACACCGGATGTGTTCTGTTTGCAAAATACCAAGCTCCCACCAAAGAGAAATCACATTGTAGACACTCCTTTTTCTTCTGGAGATTACTTACTAATTGATAAAAAATAAATGAACAAACTTTTTCAATAATTGGAAGTACTCAGGGTCAACAATTATTAACAAGAAAATATGTTTTTTTTGTCAATAATTATAGACCCTGAATACTTCCAGTTATCTTGGAAATCCATTCACTAAAACTCAAGTTCAGAAACAATTTTATGCTCTATTCTTTTATTCCAGTTTAGTGATCCGGTTTTCTCAGGTGTGGGAAAGGGAAAGGCTTTCTTTATCCCCAAAAGTGGGAACATGAACCGACAAAAAATAACATTCTTATTAATTTTTTTCAGCAAACATTCTTATTAATTTTACTTTAGAAAGCATTTCCCATTTGTGAAATCACTATTTCTAGCATTTCAATCCCAGGTAACTTTAGAAAGCAAATTACTACTTTACTGTTGTGAAATCACTATTCCTACTTTCTTGAGCCTCAAAATTTTCTTATCTAAAATTATATTCACAAAAAAGTTCTCGGTTTGACTTGGCACAAAGTTCAAGGAAAGTAAAAACATGTGATTGAAAGTGATGCAAAGGAGAGGAAAAGATTGCGAGGCACTTAACATTTTTCATAAAAAAGAAATAAGAAATTTTTTTTTTGGGACGTTCCAAACAAGAAATAAGAAGTCTTTTTTTGAGACGAAGAAAGTCAGATCTAATAGTCGGCCTATGAGAGTAATCTTTTACCATAAAGCTTCCCATGAATGCATCAGTTAATTCTTCCTCTGTCTAACACTCCACACAATTCACTCGGCCCACCGAAAATTCAACGTGCTATTAGAGCTAAGTTTAGTTCGGGTTCGATTCATCATGATATCAATCTCTGGGCTAGCTATAAAGAGAATTCAATGTTAGGCACATTTATCCAACTATCCAAGTAGTAACTAGACCAGACTAGTTACCGTTTGGGGGGGAGGGTGTTGGGAGTCGTGTTTTGGGTTCTATCCCACATGGGCAAATTTAATTAAATACTCCGTTTTACTCTCATATAAGGAAAGGTAAGACACTACCTATTTGCTTAAGTTTTTGGTTAAAAAGTAGATCTGAGTTTTATATGAAAAAATAGTTCACCCAAGGTGCACCAAAGAAGCACACTAAGCTTTTGGTTAAAAAGTGGATCAGAACTTTATACGAAAAAGTAGTCAATCGAACTCGACACTCTGCCCGATTCATTTATCTTACCAAAAATCCAACATAAGCAGTGAAAGGAAAAAATACGAAATTGCATAAAAGAGCACTTTATTTTGTGTGTGTATATATATATATATATATATATATATATATATATATATATATATATTCAGAGCACATATCTTATAAAATGAGTATAAACAATAAAGACATCTCTTTCAAACCTAATTTACCAGGATAGCAGGTTTGACGAGGAACAGACATGTGAATATGAACAGACAGGTTTGACTAGGAACATGAACCCACTCAGAAGTTTACTTAATGAGAAATCATTATACTAACTAGGCCCCGTTTGGCATTACCGTTAGAGATTAGAGTCAGTACGGTAGCCTTTAGCGCTAGCGTTTTCATACTTAATCTACACCATTAAAATTTTATCCAAAATGCTAACGCTAATCGAAAATGCTGCTCCCAAACAAGGCCTTACAGACTTTAAGTTTTTTTTAAAATGGGGCAGTTTTCCTGCCACAGGACAACAATACCACTAGCTTTTTGGAAGGTGTTCCGTTTGCAAAATTGAGAGTTCCTACTCCTCCTAACCCCCCTAAACCGGATGCGTTCTGTTTGCAAAATTAATTGTTCATACTCCTCGTAACGCTCTTCCAAAGCAACGGGACCAAACAATACTATTTCTTGCCCTCATATAGCAAATACCAAGCCCCCACCAAAGAGAAATCATATTCTAGACACTCCTTTTTTCTAATTAATTGTTTAAAAAAAATGGATGAACAAATTTTGTCAATAGGTGGAAATACTCAGGATCAATAACTATTAACAAAATTGACATTTTTTCTTGTTAATTGTTATGGATACTGAGTATTTCCAGTTATCAAATAAATTCATTCACAGAAACTGAAGTTTAGTAACAATTACAAGCTTTATTCTTTTATTCCAGTTCAGTGATCCGGTTTTCTCCGGTGTGGGAAAGGGAAATGCTTTCTTTAACCTTAAAAACTAGGAACGTGAACCGACAAAAATAACATTCTTATTAAAGACATCCCATTTTTAACCTAATTTACCAGGATAGCAGGCATGACGGTGAACAGACAGGTGATTCTGCCGGGGTGGATGTGCTGGACTTTGAGGAGGCCGCGAGTGAGGTGAGAGACGAAGTCCTTGGCCTGGTGTTCATCCGGAAAGCTGGTGGAGTAAACTCCGACGTCGCGCAGGATGCCGTCGAGTGAATTGATGGAATCTGAAGACAGGTCTGCGGCGGCGGTGCCGCCGAGCAGGGCCTTGGCTGCGACGGTTCCTGCTTTGCCTCCCATCTCATTCATCTCTCACCTACCACTCCTCCCAGTCTCCCACTATCATTCTTTAAAAATACTACATCAGTCCCATTATATTTGTTTAATTTGACTTTTTTGAGTTAAACTTGATAAACTTTAAACTCCAATTATTCTCAATTTTTAATTACTTTTCCATACACGGAGTATAGTCTTTTTTGATATTTTGTCATATTGGTATTTATTTGAAGACTAAAAGTATAATTTGATATCAGTCTACATTCAGTGATTGATGTTGGCGAGATGATAATATAACAATAATGACTATGGTTGTAGACTACGAATCCAGTGAAAAGACTAATCGTAGTAAACAGCGACTGTGATTCACAAACGACGCATCAGATGCGGCCTCTGGTATCGTGTATGACACAAAAGATATATGATCATTGTGGAATTTTAGTTTTAGCCTTCAAATTAACAACATGACGGAAAATAAAAAACTAAAATAGAAGTATTTGTAGAAATGTACCTATAAAAGAAAGCGCGCATGCATAATATTTAATATTGTAAAATTATACTTTAAGCCATCAAATTAACAACATGACAAAATAAAAAAAACTACGGAATATTTGTGGAAAAGTATCTATAAAAAGACCACAAGCATAATATTTGAAAATAAAAAACTAAATATAGAATAAATTACGGAGTATGAAATTTATTCTTAAAACAATGCTCCTTGCCTCCTTGGAGCATCTTAAACGCAAGTTGTTTATGAGTTGCTTATGAATAATCTAATAAAAAAATACTGAGGTGTCTTATGACATAAAAACACCATTGCTTCAATTAGTTTGAAGGTTGCCTCATTAAACAACCATTGCTTAACTATTTCATAACAAAAGATAGTGAACCATTGTATCTAAACAACTTACACTAAAAGTCTAAAACCAGTGTTAATTTAGGGACGGAATGAGTATCAAGAAGCCACAATATGGACCTCATTCTCCTCAAATCCCTTGTGGTTTTCAACCCAGCTAAAACCAGAACCCTTAGCTATGTCCCCCTCATCCATCATCTCTCTGATCGCCTTCGATTCCTCCCATCTTCCCAGAGACGAGTACATATTCGCCAGAAGAACATAAGGAGCAGAGTTTTCAGGATCGAGACGCGAAAGCTCGGTTGCTGCCCTTCTAGCCAAACCCACATTCGAATGAACCCTGCATGTGCTCAGCAATGCCTCCCACAGAACCGGGTCGTCTCTGAACGGCATCGTATCCAAGATTTCTTCCACTTCGGTGAACCGCCCTGCCCGACCCAAGCAGTCAATAATGCAAGTGTAGTGATCAACAACGGGTTCCAGTCCGAACCCGTCCCGGATCGAGTTGAAAACCCGAACCCCCCGGTCAACTAATCCGGAATGACAACAGGCAGTCAAAACCGCGACGAACGTCACGCTATCCGGCTCATTCCCCGTTCGGATCATGTCCTCGTATAAGAGATGAGCTTCGTCTCCTTGCCCGTTCTGTGCGTAGCCGTGTATCATCTCATTCCAGGTGATGGTGTTTTTCCAGTGGATTCTGTCGAAACAGAGGCGGGCCCCACATATATCGCCGCACCTAGAGTACATGTGGATCAGAGCACTTCCCACGACTACATCGTTTCCGTGCCCGCCTCTATATATCATGCCGTGAATTTGCCTCCCAAGTGCTAGGGCAGACAATTTCGCGCAACTGCTCAACATGGATGCATAAGTGAACTCACTAGGTGGCATCCCCATCGCCAGCATTCTCTTAAAGAAGGAAACGGCTTCTTCGTCCAAGGAATTGTGGTTTAAACCCGAGATCATGGAATTCCAACACACTATATCCAACCAAGGCAAGCTATTGAACAAGGTTTTGGCCACCTTTACCGAACCGCATTTCGTGTACATGGCAATAAGACTGCTAGCTACATATATGTCACCTTGAACGCCATTCTTAAATGACGCGGCGTGAATCTGCTTCCCATAATCCAAAAGTGATGTTTCTGCGCATGAAGTGAGTATGAGAGCAAAGGTGGTCCGATCGGATCGGACGTTTTGAAATTGCATTTTCCTGAAAAGGTTTATCGCTTCATATTGATCGCCGTTCTGTGAGTAGCCCGAAAGCATGGCATTCCATGAGCTCAAGCTTGGGCACACCATCCTCTCAAATAGCAAACGGGCAGCTTCAACTTCCCCAGATTTGACACAACCTGCCAGCATATTAATGTGAGTAACCTCGTCGGGTTCATAGCCACAACTCAGCATGCGCTCCATGTATTCCATGGCTCTTTTTATTTCATAGTTCTGCCCGAACCCGCCTATCATTATATTCCAAGAAACAGTACTAACTTCGGGCAGGTTCTGGAAAATCAGTTCTGCACTCATCATGTCCTTGTTCTTCGCGTACACATCAAGCAGTGAGTTGCAGAGGCGAAGATCGCTGTCAAATCCAAGTTTGATGGCAAGTGTGTGGACTTGTTTCCCAGGGACGTTGCGCATTTTGGAAGCATTAAGGTCACCGATTATTAGGTCACCACCATCACCCTTAGCACACACCTTGAGAAAGCTCGACAACGAAATGGGATCAATCTTGAATCCGTTCCGTTGCATCAACCTAAACATGTCAAAAGCGCCCTCCACTTGGTCAATGTCACCCAACCCGGATATCATGGCCGTGAACGAAACCTCATTACGTTCGGGCAAGTCCCCAAAGATCTTTACTGCATCCCCACCACAGCCACATTTCATATACATACTTAACATTGCATTGCCAACATAAACACTCCTCTCAAGCCCACACTTTACAGCAAAACCATGGCATGCTCTCCCAAACCCCACACCCTTCAACCCACCACAAGCACTCAACACGCTCGCCAAGGTGATGTGGGTAAGCTCAAAACCGCCTGAAACCATTATGCGGAAAACCTCCAATGCCTTTCTTTCATGTCCATTTCGAGCTAGAGCACTAATCATAGTGTTCCATGAGACACTATTCCTCTCAGGCATTTTAACAAAGAGATCAGTAGCAGGCTCTAGCTGGCCTGCTTTGCAATAGGCACTCAGCATAGCATGCCATGAATATATGTTCGGATGAGGCATTTGATCAAAAACATTGCGCGCCGCCCGGATGAGACCACATTTTGAGTAGCACTCCGTGATGCGGTTGGCAATAAAGGTGTCGGAAGAGAGCCCGATCCGGACCACATGTCCATGGATAAGTTTGCCTGCAATTTGGGCTTTGGTATCTATGCAGGTCTGCAAAAGATTAGCTATGTAGGCTGTGTTGGTTTTGCCTTGCATTCTTCAGGCTCTGGGGCACACGGGCATCCGCGCCCTTTGAGGCCACTTATTCTTACAACATAAATTCTAACAACAATTTTTCAACATTTAATCTTAACCCTCCATCCTCACCTAACAAATCCGGGCCGCCCACTTTTCTTATTCCTTCCCAATCACACTTGCGACACACATAAGCTCCATTGTTATACTTCATAGTTGAAGACGAACCTCGCATATTATTGTCTTGTAAATCTGAACGGTAAGAAAAACAAATGAACTATGCACACATCAGTGCAAATGTATTGTAGAACAAAAAACACATCAGCACAAGCGCATCGACTCGAATGGAATGATTTCAACAAAATCAAAATTGCAAATGAATCGATTATTTTATTTAGCCAGTTGAAACTCTCTTCACATATCCAAAAATTAACCATAAAATGCATAAACAATATGAAGAAATGGACAGAAATCATAAACCACAACACAGAATAGGATTCACAAATTGGACAAAAATGGACAGAAGAACAAAATTTCGTCGCTTGTAAAGTTTGTATAGTGGGAATACCAAGGGGAGTACTGATAGGTTGAGAGTTGGGGAGGGGGTGCAGAATCTGCAAAGGGTGTATTCAAATCTGCAAATCAATAGCTTAGGTTTCACACAGGCCAAGACTTACCTGCACCTATCCGGGACGATGCGAGGATGAGGGCGACCGAAAGGGAGATGAACGGTGCACGACTCAGAGGGTGGTGGCGACCCGGCTGAGGACCCAGCTGGTGCTCGTAAAACAGTGGCGAAGCGGGCTAGCCTTCGCCGGGATAATGATTTTCTACTCCCTCGGTGACTATTTAGTTTACTATTCAAAAAGTAAGAAATTTTTTATTTATTTGTATGTTTTTATTGACTATTTCACGTAGTTAAATATTTTTATCATCTCTTACTTTCTAGAACTTTTGATATACTTTTTAAATATGTAAGTTTTATTTTTTTTATTTATATATCAATCTTTAAATAAAATGAATTGGAAAAATTTTGATTTTTCATCGTTTTGTGTAAAGCCTCTACGTTTTGCAGTCAGATTTATATCCCTGTTGGGCCGGGGAATCACAATTGGGCAGTCCATATCTGATCATCAGGCCCGGATATCCATCAACACTAATAAAATCATGTTTGAAGTGATACATGTAATTGGCAACGCCTGCTTTAGATCTTTCAAGGTTCACTTGTTAGAATATAAATAACTGTTCCTGTGCCACAACTACAAGCTTGAGCTTTTGGTTGAGTTGGTTCCTTGACATGGTATCGGAGCCTCGTTGACTAAGAGGTCACGGGTACCTAAATATAGTCATGTGTGATCTTGTTTGATTTGTCTTAACATATAGATTATTAATATATAATTTCTATAATTTTTTAATATACAAATTACAAGATAAAATGGATTAAAGAAGTGTATTGGATGGTATGCAAAAATGAAAGTGGACAAATACTTTGGGACGGAAGGAGTAAATAACTGTTCTTGGGCCACAACCACAAGTTTGAGCTTTTGGTTGAGTTGGTTCCTTGACATCAGTTATCTTCTATAACTTCGTAAGATTGAAATCTCATTGAATTGTACATTTCAAGTCTATTGGTTTTTATTTTTAGAAATATTAGACTAGCTTGTTGCTAAAGATTTTTCTATTGTCTCTGACGGACCCAAAGATTCACTACTTTTTGGCTTTGGGTGCAGGGCCGGCCCATTAGGGGGACAAAGTGTCCATCTGGGCCGGGCTCAATAATTTTAGGGGCACCAAAATATTTTTTTGAGTATTATATATATGTGTGTGTGTGTGTGTATGAGAAGCTCACTTTATTTAAGGCCCAGTCCACCCACTCCTTCACTTATTCTACACCTTAGCCCAGTCTACCACTCCACCCCTCACCCGACAAAACAAAAAAAAATTTTGAAGAAAGCCGAAAGAAGAAAGGGATCGGAAGAGGCGAAGTCGCGAAGAGAGCTACTGCCGATAGCCAAAGAAAGGACGACGGGGCCGCCTCCACCGCCGGACGACGACCTCCACGCCTCCACCCTTCAAGTATTCCATATTCAATTATTCATAGCTTTCCAATTTTGTAATTTTTATTTCTTAAATCTTAATTTTCTTTCATTGTTACATTTTTTAAATTTAAAATCTAGGGTTAATTATTAGTTTTTAATTTGAAATCTTTTCTAACTTCATTCTTTGAAATAGAATGATTTAATGGTTCTATTTGTTATTTATTTGAGTTGGATGAATAGATTTGAATTTGTTATTTATGATATATTTATATAAAAAAACTGAAAACTGAAAAAAATTGATGAATTGATATTAATTTATGATATATTTATTTATAAACTTGCTTTTTCAGTTTTTCATACTTGATTTTACTTAGTAAAATTTATGAATTTGGATTTTATAATTACGGTATGTAATTATAATACTATAATTTTGTCATTTATTTTTTTTCTTCTAATAATATTGCGTTAATTATAATTTAAATATAATTAGTTTACATATGTGAATTTGTTAGACCATTAAGGATACGACTTTTAGGGCCCTTTTTCTTTTTCGGCCCAGGCACATGAATCCTGAGGACCGGCCCTGTTTGGGTGTAATGGAATAAAGCAAAAAGAGACCACTCTAGATAAAAGTAACATATAGAAAAAGTATCAAGATAGAAGTTATATGTTTTTATACCCTGAATAATAGTTTGCATTGTGGTAATGTGGCACTGTACATGAGCATTTTTATTATATTTTTTAGTAATATACATGGTCATGTTTGGTAATGTAAATGCATTCAAACTCTTATTTCGTGAATAAAAATGTAGAAATCTTATTTTGGTATATTTTCAATGATTTACTCCTACTCTAGTCTTTTTCCCTAAAGCAAAATGGGATTTTAAGCTGTCTGCACTTTTTTTTCAGCCGTGAAATAACAATTAGTCAATGTAACTTTCGATGCTCATCATGGGTCATCCAGAAAGAGCTGCTCCATGTTTTATACATAGGGGTGTGTACATCTGACCCCCCCCTTACCCTGCAATGGGGAGCCTTTGAGACACTAGGGTAATGTTGTTGTTGTTTCTAAAGAACAATAGAGTCATTTTACTCTTGTATTCATCTAAAACTAATGTTTTTTCAATGACACTATTATGCATACTGTACTAATGCAAAAATTATTTCGGGCATTTTTATCATTGTCACTTGGAGAATTTATGTGTTTCGAGTATATTGAATATACTTTCTTAGGGTCCGTTTGGTATACGAAATTGATGGAATTGGAATTGAATTGGAATTAAAATTCCATGGGATTCAATTCCATAGAATTGAATTCACAATTTTCAATTCATTTTTTGCACTACCAATTCCAAATCCACATAATTTTTGTGTTACCAAACATGAAAATTAGAATTGAAGTCTTCAATTCCAATTCCATAGTTTGAATTCCGCGTACCAAACGGGCCCTTAATTGAATTAGTGGATATTTTGCAGCTAGGAAACAAGAGAGACTAAAACCACCGCTCACACATTCAAAATTGAGAGACCAAATGTACTTTTTCCTGCAATTCTTTTTCGCATGTAGTGAGGTTCTCTAAATACTGCCTTTCTCTATGCTTTGCCACTTTGTCAACCTGTGTGAATGTCTTCAGTGTTTGACTATTAGGAAGATACGTTGATGGAGAATATGAAACCAATTTATCAGTTTTGCTTTGGAACAGTTATGTAAGATCTAGATGCAGTATAAGTATATACCCGAGTATAATTTATTTTGTACTGATGAGTTGGATATGTGACCCAACTTGAATTGCTTTCATGCAGGGTTAGCAAAAGTTAGTATGGAGATGAGGGGAAGGGGCCGCAGGAGGAATTTCGAAATGCCAAAGGTTCCCCACCGCACCGACTAAGTATTTCCTACACAAGAACAGCTCCGCGTACACCTTCTCCACCTTGCGGTTCACGTCGTGGAGGAAGACGTGCGTCGCCCCGGGCCCCTTCCGGTTGCGCGCCATCACGGCCGCCGAGTATATCGACGCCATCCTCCCCGGCGCTTCCGTGTAGTACCCCCTCGGCCCGTCGATCAGTATCACGTCCCACTCCCTGTCGTACACCTCGCCCGGGAGCATGCTCAGAGCCAGCCTGCACCGGACGTTGCCGCGCAGGAACGACCTCGCGGCCGAGCAGTCCGGCTCCTCCCGGAAGTGCTGGACCAGCTCGGCCGCCTCCGACATCTTCGTCGTGTACCTCACGACGAAGGCCGTCAGGTTGTTGCTGGTCGGGCCGCCGGGCCCGACCAGGGACTCGTAGAACTTCGGGTCCTCCTCCAGGAACACGGTGGTGCCCTGGAGGTTGAAGCACTTCCACATGAGGGAGTCGTGGCCCAGCCCGAACACCAAGAAGTTCGCGGGGCCCAGCCTCCGCAGGACGTCAACGCACGCCTGGATCTCGCGGGCGGTCTGCTGCGGCGTCAGGCGTGACGTGGCGTAGTGGAGGACGGCCTCGAGGAGCTGGGCTTGCTCGGTCCGGGCCTCGGCCCGGCTCGAGTTGCCCGGCGACGCGACCATGCCTCCGGTCTCGCAAATGCTCCGAGCGGTCGTCGCCGTTCGGAGGAACGTGGTTATGAAGCACGCGCCGCCGATGAAACCGAGAGTCAGAATGCCGAGGAACCATGTCCGTTCAATCTTAAACTGGACAAAAGGCATCTTAATACCCAATATGTTGATCAGTTAATCATGTTGAGATCATGCATGAACAATGTAACTAACTGAAATTGTTCAGTTTTGGAAGAATATAATAAATCTGCAGTTATTGTCCAAACTCCAAAGAAGTGAAATATTCCGATTTCTTCGTAATATGTAAAAATGTCGAGTTGAGAACAATGATTCTGAGCCCGTCAATAGAGAAAGGGCATTTTGACTGCTTCATTTCACGATCCCATGTTTTTGGATCGCATGTTTTGTTTGGCTTTATGCATAAAATGTGCGCATGATGTGAGTATTGTGACACGCGAGTGTGTGGACATATTCAAGCAATGGCAAGGCAAAAAATGCCACTCACCGTGGAGCAAATGAGTACCGTGTGGTAAATGAGTGGAGCATCGTAATATACAGTGTCAAGTATTGTTTTTGTCTATTTTTGTACTTTTAATGATTTTTAATCATCAAAAATTATTTTACACATCTATTTTATTATTAAAATATGTCTACTTTTTTAAAAAAATATTTTTTTTTCAAAAATTAAAAATATTAATTAAAAATATTTTTAAAAAAAAATAAAAAATGAGAGAGTCATGTCTTGCACATGGAATGAAAAGTGAGGTGGAATGGTATTTGCTTACATGGCTAGGTAAGGCAAGACATTGCATTGCCATTGTATGTGAGTGCTCTTAGTTTTTTCATTTCATTTTCATTCTCATTAAGAAATGTGTGTATCCTCATTTCCAGCTTCTAACTCCGTGACATGTTAGTTTTTTCTTTCATTTCATTCTCATTGAGAAATGTGTACCCTCCATCTATACAAAATCCTTTTTATTTTTATTTTTAAATATTACTTCTATTACATTTTAAATTAATATTTAAATTCAAACAATAAAATTAAATAAAAAATGGTACATATATAGTTTCATAAAATTACAAACATAAATCATGAATTAAAAAAGTCCATTAAAAATATGATAAAATATTACATTGAAAAGTCCATGCATAAATTGTTTTAAAAAAGAGTACAATTAAATTCGCTTTCTTTGTTTATATTCATTAGTCATTTGATAAAATAATATGATCATGTCAGCTTTAGTTTTGTAAATTTTTTTATATAGGTTTTTATATAAGGCTTATTGTTCAAACGTGTCATGCTCGGTGTGATATTTCTTATTAGGGGACAAACCTCCTCGTCACTAGTATTGCTATGGTGTTTGCTTTTTGTTGTTCAATTATGGTGGGTTTTGAAGAAACTCGTGAAATTGGTCCCTAACTTTACTTCAAAAGCCAACACTCCTTTGCACGGTCCCTGCATTAAAAAAGTTGCAA